TGAACGTGTATATTTAAGGAAAATCTGTTTCCATCGTGCAATTTTTGTATTGCTTCAAGAAATACTTAGATTTACTCTGAGTTTATTTTAGTTTTAATTTTGAAAATTATTAGCTTAAATCATTTAAAGTAAATATTCTTAAGCAATTTAATATTAATCTTGTTATTTAAGTCCTTTCTATAATCTTTAATTTCAATCAATTATAGCAAAATTGTTACAATTTTGAAAAATCAATTTAATTTTAAAAAGAGCTATTTAACTTATTGCTTATTTTTTCTGAATATGTAATTACCACAAGTCTTTCGTTTTTATGTATACCATTTTTTTTCCAAATGTATAAAAATAGCTTTCAATAATAATGATTACTTGTTATTTGTTAATCAAAGAATAATTGAATGTTTTTTATTACATTTGCTTTCATCAAGTGATACAGTAATATTTTATTTAAAATGAATTCATAATTGTTTCACTATGCAATTTTGCTGTTATATTTGAAATGTATAGAACATATTGTTACTAGCAATTTGCAGAATTTTAATCAATGTGTATAATATGTTGCTAAAGGAAATGCTCAATTCAGCTCCTTTACTGCCACTATAATAAATTGTAGAAAAAAAGTTCGAATAAACTGTGGCTCATTTCTCCAGGTTTTGTTTCAAAGTTTTTATTGTATTGAAGTTTTATTTACTTATCCATTTATAAAGCACTTTAATGTTTAAGTTTTTATTGCAAACATTTATTTACTATTTAATTTATTCATTAACCCATTTATTTATTATTTAATTTATTTATTGTTTAATTTAATTATTTTTTAATTTTTTTATTTATTTGATTTATTATTTAATTTTTTTATTTATTTAATTTATTAATTAATTTTTTTATTTATTTAATTTATTTATTATTTAACTTTTAATTTCCTCACACATGTCTTACTCACCTATTCATTTTTGTTCAATGTAAATACATCTTCGCTTAATCCTGAATAGTGATCAAATGTTTTCAAATCGCATCACTTAACTCGAGTCTGCAAGACTAAAAATGTGGTTTCTAAATTATATAAATCAATTATCTGATTTTATTGTAAAAGAAACGCACATTATATTAGAGTGTAAAAAAATTCTCGTAAAGGAAGGAAATTCTCGTAAAATAAGGAAATTCTCGTTACTGTTAACTAATATTGAGATATTTTATGAGAAAGAAGGTCTCACAAAGAACAATTAAATTTTTAAACGTTTTGATTAAAGGTTTGCCCTTGCCTTCTCTTTAATTGTAAAGATTGCAAAAATACAAATAAAATATTTGTTAAATATTTATCTAATAGAAAACTATTTTCATCATAATTTTGATCTCGGTTTTAAGTACTAGGAAAAATAGATAAGTTTTTTGGATGAAAAAAAATAGCCACCTCGAGATCATATAAATTAGTAAAATATAAAAAATCTGATTGTTTTAAATTTTCCCCCCAATCCTTTTAAAATATATATGTATGTTTCTTCTGTTCTCAGAGTTGTTCTCAATATATAATAGATATATTTGCATGTATAAGTAGTGGCTAATGTAATGTTGGAAATCGTTACTTTTTATTTCATTTTAAGAATTTTGTTCACAAAAATGTGAAGCTTATTGAAGCGATTTTGAATAAGCTCATGCATGCAAATAAATAATAGATATATTTACATAAATAGTTGCTGGTGTAAGGTTGGAAATTATTACTTTTTTTTATTGTAAGAATTTTATTAACAAAAGCGATGAACTTATTGAAACCATTTTGCAGTGTTTCTAAATTGAAATTTTCACTGCATGTATTGTTTTTAAAGTAAGACCATCTCATTTCAGGTAATGATAATCAATTGAATCTATGGAATGTAGAGTAATATTATGAACTTAAGTATACTTAGTTATTATTTTATAAGCAATATGTCTTCAGACTTTTTATTATACTTTCACGTTTTCTCATAACTTCAATTCTTTTATAAATCCTAGTACTGTCCACGCTTTAAAGAGTGAATATTCCAAGTAATATTTGTAGCATTAAAATAACTTATCAAAAATTATTTAAATGAAAAATTAGAAACCAAAAACAAACAAAACTTTAAAGATATATATGTCGGTAAAAACAGCACTTCATTTCCTTTATGTTAAAGCTTCGTTTTGCTTGTTTTTAGTTTCTAACTGTTTATTTAAATTGTTTACTGTAGGCAAATTTGACTTTAGCTGCTTTTAGCGCTTTTTTATTTTGACTTATTATTTTAAAAATTTTATCTTAAAAATTGTTTAATTCAATTTCATACTTTGATTGGATTATCAAAAATGATGTATCACCTTTTTGCACCTAGGACGATGCAGGATGTTCTGTTACGGTAATGTATGAAAAGTCAATATTCTCTGACTTTTTAATTCTTGGTTTTGAGTATTTCTTGGTAAATTTGAGGCATAAAGTGATAAGTATTCTTATAACCGTCGTTGAACAGCTACTCAATTTTGGGCTTAGGGCTACTAATGTTCAACTCCGTAGCCTTGTAATTTTCAACCTAATTCAAAAGACAAGGGAACTCCTTTGGAGAAATTTGCCTTTTTGATGGAACCAACCCACATTTGCGTTACATGGAGAGGAAAATTTCCCAGGATTAGCCTGACGGCAAGAGGACTCTAACCCATGATCTATCGATCACTGATAATATTTTACGTCAGCACTGTGGTCGGTACAAGCTGGTTGCGGAATTCGTATCGATCAGTCATCGCTGGGATTCGAACCCAGTCACCTCATTAAAAGGCGAAAGCTCTATCCCCTTAGCCACCACGATTCTAAAATGATAAGCGTGAAAAGAAAAAAGAATCGTGATAATGCTATTATTTAAAAAACGTTCTTTCCTCAAAAAAAAAAACATGCTTTTATGAAAAGAATTGAGACAGGAGGTAAAATAATGGAATTCAATGTGCTCAGTTTTGTTACTGAATTATAAATAAAAACTAACTAGTTAGCACTTGGTTAATGCAATTTTTAAATTGCTAATTGCTTGTTAGTAACAAAAACTATGATTAAATTTTAAAAAATTATCTAGGGTGCTATATTTCCTTCTCCACTGCAATCCCACACGCCAGCGCTTGTAAGTAAACTTGCATTTCATTTTTTTTTTCTCTCTGTGACTTTCCCTTGAAATTCGTTCTCGCGTTTGAAATTTTTCCCTTTAACAGAATTATTAAATCACATTGTCTGACAACATGTTGTATAAATAATTTTATATAGTCAAAAATGTAATATTTTTAGCAGTGTTCTCAAAACCACAACATAGATCATCTCCTGATGAACATACTTAAATCAACCCTTTCAAAATATATTATTTATTTAATTTTGAACTAGTTTATATTTTTCAGTCTAAAAATTTTTTAATTAAAATTTATAAAATGACTTCAAAGTAAAACAGAACGCAAATTAATAGGACATTTTTTTTCTTCCCAATTTTGCAGCGGGCCTGACTTGATAGTTTACCATGGATTTATTCATGGTTCTTAAAACATTTTTAAATTTTTTTTTTTTGCTTTCTTGATATTTGGGAATTTTTTGCCTACAATGACGCGTCAAAAAATTAATTCCAGCTAATACGAAATCGTGTAAAAGCTATTTGTTGACTTAAAAATTGAAAGGTCAGAAATGATATATTAAATGGCTGAAATAAAAAATTAATCTATTTTTAAGTCATTTTGAATATTCCCAAATCGCCATAACAATTTTCTTACCAAACAAAAGTTTGAAATTGTTAATATTTTACTAATGTTTTTTCCAATTGTATTTTCCATTTTTTGTGTGATCATTAATGCATTCAAATAGATGCTTTTAAATAGTTAATTATTTTGAAGGCCATTTGTGTTAATCAAAACATTATTTTTTCTATCGTACATACAGGTCACGGAGCCTTGGGCACAAAGCCACTTGCAGGCCCTCTAAAAGAATCACAAAGTTTCAGTTAAACCTTTCATCGATAAACCTTTTGGCGACAGCTGATTGTTAACTACCAAATAACTTTTTTAGAAATACATCATATAGAAATTTAATTTATCTAAATTATGAAAAAATTTTTTGAAATGATAGAGTGAGTTGGTGAAAATAATGAAAATTATGTTGGAAACAAGACATTCGTAATAAGTACGTAGAAAGCAATCTAAAAAAATAATTTATTAAATCCATTCTAATTATTTGTAAGATTAATTATTTGCATAAAAAAAAACACTTATTAGAGTTTATTTGAGGCAACAACAATTTTATGGAGAAAAAGGAAAACTGGCATTAAATGCATTTCACATTTTAAAATACTCGGATGAAAGTTGACGTTATAATATGAAAAAGTAAAAGATAATTTGGAGGCCATTACAAGTTAAAGGCCAAACTTATTTTTAAAAAAGATAAAAAGCATTAATGTAATTCGGGATGGGGAGGCACCCTTACAATTTGGGGATCACCACGGTTACTCAGGTGTTAGAGCGTTCGCCTCCCAATGAGGAAACCCAGGTTTGAATCGCAACTGTGGCTGATTAATAGGATCTCAAGTACTAACGTAAAAATATCCTCAGTGGTAAACGGATCATGAAATAGAACCAATTTGCAGTCAAACTAACCGTCGGAGGTTTTCGTGGTTTTCATCTCCATGCAACGCAAATGCTGGTTAGTTTCATCAAAAACTTCTTTTCGAAGGCTAGTTTGTCCCGATGCTTGATTCACAAGTTCCCCTGTCTTCTGTGCTGGGTTCAAAAGTACAAGGCTAAAGAATTGAACATAGACAGTCGTAAATTCAGAATCGGGTCAGCTGTTCAACGCCGGTTATAAAATAAAATAAAGAGTTAGGGACCCTGGGTACGTGCCCCGAATGCCCTCCCGTAAATCAGTTCTTGACTTTCTATTTTTTTCTTTCTCGAATTATAATGATTGTTATTTACTGCTTTCATTCTTCAATTCTTGCTTCGAATGTATGGTAACAAATTCAAACAGGATTTAATGTATGGGACAATCAATTCAATTAAAATAATTCGTATCATCTTCAAGATCTCATGAACGATAAGAACAATTAATCTTACAATCTTTTTCTCGTAACACAATATAATAGAAGGAAGGAGGAAAAAAATTCCCTTTGAGCTCTGTCATATTAAGCAAAAGCAGAATTTCAAAGAATTGTAGTTTTTAAAGCCCTCTCCGAATGCCAAAATGAAAGCTTCGGATATAGTGTTGATCATCGTTTTAGTCTTTGCTTTCGATTCTTTTTGTAAATTAAATGCGGAATCGAATGCAGGTGATGCCGAAAATGACAATGTCATTTTGCATCAGTGGAAGGAGATGAATCGGAATGCTGAAAAAATGATTGGTTCTGTTATTAAACAAATTATGCCGCATGTGATGGAATCTACCTCGAAAATAAATATATCTTCAACTTGTATGCAACAAAGCTTGACATTATTATCCGGAGTTCGCCGTTTACAAGTTTGGGCATTAAGTTGTAAGTATATGTTATAACATTACCAAAATATTGGGAATTTTTTTGATAAACATATTTCTAACAGTTGGATTTTAATAGTTAGTACAATATAACATTTACTTTATAACATTTTATATAATACTACAGTTTACTATGCGTTAAATATAGTTTACTATATAACATTTTTATTTTATCACCGCCGTTGAACAGCAGATCCAATTTTATGGGTTTACGANTATTAATGTTGAGCTCCGTAGCCTTGCAATTTTGAACCCAATTCAGAAGACAAAGGAACTCCTGGATCAAGTATCGGGAGAAATTAGCTTCCTTGACGAACTTTTTGATGAAACTGACCCACATTTGCGTTACATGGAGAGGAAAATCTCGGAAACTTCCCACGGTTAGCCTGACGGCAAAGGGATTCTACACCATGACCCGTCTACTACTAAGGATATTTTTCGCCAGCATTGTGGTTGGTGTGAGCCGGGTGCGGAATTCGAATCAATCAACCATTACCGGGACTCGAACCAGGATTACCTCATTGGGACTATTCCCTTAACCACCACGGCTCTCTACAAAGCATTTGCAAAATATTTGAATTTTTGATTATAAGTATACAATTTGCACCCTACTAGACCCAAAAATTTAAATTTTTTGTTAGCAGTGGGTAGTATGCTCTAAACTCTAATGACTTAGTTGCCACTTTTTCCTCAAACTTATTGAGTCGTTGACAGTTATAGATAGGTCCTTTAATTTATAGCAACTTTTCAAAAACAGTCTTCTTTTTTCCTTGGAGTAATTTTTATTTTTTTGAAAAAACACTCCTCTTACAAATTATCTAAGACTATAAAAAATTAGTTTTACAATAAAATTATAATATTTGACAAAATTTAGTTAAACCTACTGACTTCAAAGAACTTAATGTAAAAATATTTGGGGTGGCAAAACATATTTAATGTACATGTTACCGAAATCAAGAGAATGTCGACTTTCACCGGTGAATGCCAATAATTACAAAGTAGCTTTGGAGAATGTCTGAAATATATGTTATATCCGATTTGATATTAATTTATTCATTGAAATAATTATATTTATTTGATATTTTAATATCGACTGAGGATATATTGGAAGAAACACCAGTGTTCAAAGTACCGGCTAAATGCATACTGGGCAGTGGGACTTGAGCAGAAGATAACATTGATGGCATACTAGGCAAATGTATACCGGGTAGTGGCACTTAACTATATGGAAAAAAAAATTATCATTTATCTATTTATAAATAATTTCTTACGAATCGATATTTTGAGATAAAAATATGTAGTGAATAATTTTTTTTAATAACTATTAAAAAAATTTTGTGACTAATAGGTTGAGTTAAAAGTGAAATTTAATAGTGTAAGAGCCAGAATCGGTTATTACTGCGCCAATCTTAAAGTTATTATGTAATTTAAGTAAGCTGATAAAACTGTACTCGTCAGCACTTTTTGATGAGCTGTGTGACATAAAAATTTTATAAAAAAAGGAAAGATAAACAGATCATTATGAAGTCATAAAACCCGTGTTTACCTGAAGAAAAAAAACAATCGATGATTAGGGTAAGTATATTAAGGATAGCCCTTAAACGAGATGAAATAATAAGATTCAATATAACATTATAAGATACCTATCAAAATGAAATAAATAACTTACTTAAACCTAAAATAAATCATTAATAATTAAAGAATCAATTGTAGTTATTAAATTTTGTTCATTAATTTCCTTTAGAACTCATTACAAATATTAAACTTGAAAATTCGCAGTTATCACAAAGAAAATCAATTTCAAGAAAAGCTGAATATGAAAAAGTTTTATTTATGATGTTAAGTACACTACACTGGCTAAATAGATTTAAAACTGAAAATACATGCTAAAGGATCTGTATGAAAATGCATTTCACTGATAATAAATGCATTTAATTATTTTACCGACTTGCATGAAACACAGACAAAAATTACATTTCAAAGATAGTTTTTTATATAAATTTAATATTTTTAAAACTCTATTACGTGTTATTTCTTTAACTCTTAAATCTGAATTGAAATAATATACATATAATGAAATACTCAAGTGTTGTAAAAATGTGATTTTGTTTATAATTTTTTTTACAGTTTTTATGAAAAGTTTTTTGTTGCCATAATTAAGTTTTCAGGACGATTTGAAAAAAAAAGTATTGCGAAGTTCACAATGGTACACAAAAACGAAGGCTTATATATTCAAACATATATTTTCCTTAATTTGTTATCATTACAATTTCCGTTTTTTAATGATAGATTAATGGCTGTTTTAACTTTGATTGTTTGCAATCGAATGTTTCCATCTTAGAATGTTCCATTGGTTCATAACTTTTAATGTTGGTCCTAGCTTAAAACCACATTTAATGATTTCCTCCTTTGTTATGTTAAGAAACTGATAGCCATTGATGTTTTTTAGAAAAATTTCTTTTTTCAAACCAATGCGCTTAAACAATGCAGCCATTTTCTTAGAGTTCCAATCGACAATATCTGGTATTTTGCGAGGTTGTTTAATAAGATATTCAAAAGGTTGATTTGCTATTTTCAAATATTCTTCAAAAAGTTTTCGATTTTTTGAAACCTTTTGCATTGCGGAAGAAGAATTGGCATTTAAATGTTGATTGGATGTTTCACATACACTCAAACAAACAGAGCAAAGCAGAGCTTTCTTTTTATTCCTCGTCGTACAACATTTATGAAAGCTACAACCACAACTCTTGCAATGTATGAAGGGCTCGTATATGCCTTTATCGTCAAATATTTGACCAAATTTGCATATCTTGCAAAGCGACATTTTCTAAGAGCTTGCTTCAATAATAGATTAGAAATTAGTTATTTAGAATATTCACGTACCACAATTTTTCAAAGCAGACGATTTTTAAAAGTTTTCTTATTTATGTCCACAGCTGAACTAAATCAGCTAATTTAAATTTATGAAATTAATTTTAAAAATCTCAAACGATTTTTGGTTTTAAATTGGAATTAATAAAAATCGTCTGCTCTCATATTTCAATTGTTTCGAATTGTTTAGTTATTTTTAAGGAAATTACGAACCAATTATAAGTGAATTTTATTATTTGATATAACTGAAAATATACACTCAATAACAAAAAAATCAACGCACCAAGAAGCAATCATCCGATTGCTTTGAAATTTTGTATGCATGAATGTTTTGAACAAATATGGCTGGAATGATGCCGATTGTGGACGTATAGTCTTTAGCGACGAATCCCGCTTCCAACTGTGTACTGACGATCATCGAAGACGTGTTTGGAGACGCACAGGGCAGAGGGGGGATCCTGCCTTCATTATTGCACGCCACACCGGCCCTCAACAAGGCATTATGGTCTGGGGGGCCATTTCCTTTGACAGCCGGACCCCTTTGGTCGTCCTTAGAGGTACAGTTACTGCACAGCGGTACGTCGACGACATCTTAAGACCTGTTTTGCTAATGTTCCTTTTGCAGCCCCCTGGGCTGGTTTTTCAGCAGGACAATGCCAGACCACATGCGGCACGTGTTGCTATGAACTGTCTGCAAGCTTGTCAAACTCTTCCTTGGCCTGCCAGATCACCAGATCTCTCTCCCATCGA